ATTTATATTTATTTTTCTTTCTTGTCTGTTATAAAAAAAATATATTTTTATTTTTTTCTCACTTTTTTTAAAATCCATACCCATCAAATATAGACTTAGATTTCCATGATGAGAAGTAATAAGTTACTTGAAACAAGGCAAACAATTGTGCGGGGTCAAGAGGTCTTCCCCCATTTGTGTAACAGAAAAATTATAAATAATAAAACATAAATAACAATAATAATAATATAGTTAGTTTATTCATGTTTTATTGGTAATTATGTTAGGTTGTAGAGACTGCCAATTAATATTTATTTTTTCTCATTCTAGTCGTATGCAGTGCTGAGTGTTCATTGTTCTTGCAATTTTGTTAGTTTTCTTATATTTTTCAATAAAGTGGTATCAGAGCGAGGTTGCTTGAGCTAAACCAGTTCTCAGTGTCTCACCAAGTGCTATCGTCTCGTGGCACCATGACGACAAATACAAACACTAGTGTTATCAGTATGTCCAATCATAGGTACCTATTTTCAAGGGTGATTCTTATGAGTTTTGAAGCGTTAAAATGAAGATGTTGTTCCGATCGCAAGACATTTGGGATATTGTTCAAAACAGTATCCCTGAAGACAGTGATGATAAAACCCTTAAAGGGGATAATCAGAAGCGAGATGCGAAAGCACTGTTTTTATCTAACAAGCAGTGGGTAATTCAATATTGTCAATAATTGCTGCAACCGCCACAGAAAATGAAGCATAGACATTTGTGAAGACAAAATTACAAGGATCGGAAAAGGTAATTATCATTAAATTGTAATCCCTTTGTAGAGATTTTGAGACGTTGTGTGTGAAGGATGGTGAGTCTGTACAAGATTATTTGGCAAGAGTTTCAGCCATTGTCTGTCAAATGAGAGCATATAGTGAAAATATGACAGATAAGACAGTTGTTGCTAAAGTTCTGATAAGCCTATCCCCTAAATTTGATCACGTTAGTATTACAGTTGAAAAGTCCAAGGACCTCTCCAAGATTTTTGTTGATGAACTCATGGGCTCTCTACAATCTCGTGAAAGGTAGAGTCAACATAAGTATTTCGAAATAAGAAAAAGGTATTTTCCATATCAAAGAGAAGATTGAGTTTTCTAATCAATAAAGAATATAAGACAAGCTGGATTTTGAGGCCAGGGCAAAGGTCGTGGTCAAAACTTGTCTTTACAATGTTCATATTGCCATAAATATGGGCACACTGCAAGATTCTGTTGGTCAAAGCCAGAAAAATCAAAATACGAAGAATAAAAAGAGCAGCAACAAGATGATTTTTTGTTCATGACCATAACAAAAGATGAACATTTCAACAATGATTTCTGGTAGATAGACAACACGTGTTTCCATCATATTACCGGGGATAAGTCAAAGTTTCAAAATATTGATGAATCGTTGAAGTCTCATGTTCGATTAAGTGATGACAAACATCTTCCTATCAAGGTCAAGGAACTATTATGGTCTCTATGGATAGGAAAAAAGACTTATAAGAGATGTACATTATGCCCATTGTTTGGTACATAATCTATTAAGTGTGGGACAGCTAATCGAATTTGGGTATTCGGTTGAGTTCAAGGATGCTAAATGCATAATCAAGAATCAAGGTACTGATGCATTCATGGCATATGATTATATATCAACTAACATGATGTTTCCCCATGAATTATCTTCAAATGTAGCTTTATTGAGTAAGACTATGGAAGAAAGTGAATTGTGTCATTTTGATATGGCCACTTAAATTACAGTGGTCTGTAGCTATTGAAATCAAAGAATATGGTCGCAAATTTGTCACGGCCTGTAGTTCCCTTAAAACATGTTTGCAGGGGATGGATTTTGGGCAAACAAGCCAATAAAGCTTTTCTAGTCGGAAAGGCTAGGCATCCTTCAACCCTATTAAAGCTAGTGCATGCGGACTTTTATGGCCCTATGAAGATGGAGTCACTAGGAGGAAGCAAATATTTTTTTCTTGTTCATAGATAATTACAACTAAATGAGTTAGGTTTAATTTTACAACTCAAGCCCGAGACGTTTAAGCTCTTCAAAAAATTCAAGGCCTTAGTGGAAAAACAAAGTAGGCAAGTATTGAAAGTTCGTCGTTATGATCGGTGGAGAATTTACCTCAAAAACCTTTTTCAGATTTTTGTGAAGAGTATGGAATCAAGCGAGAACTAACACCTCCGTACACCCCAAGAACAAAATAGAGTGGCGGAATGAAAGAACCGTACAGTGATTGAAATGGCTCGTGCAATGCTGAAAGAGAAAGGGCTTCCAAATAATTTCTGGGAAGAATGTGTTGCTACAGCTATGTATCTCTTCAATATATCTTCTATAAAGGCGGTGTGGAACCAAACTCCCTATGAAGCATGGTATGGAAACAAATCGTCAGTGAGCCATTTGAGGATTTTTTGTTGTATTTGCTATGTTTTGCACACAACTTGCAGGCATAAACTTGAAGACAAGTCACAAAGATGTATTTTTATTGGATATAGTTATGAGTTAAAAGAATAGTGGATTTATAATCGCATTACTCATAAATTTTGTGTGAGCAGAAATGTAGATTCGATGAGCATTCTTGTTGGGATTAGGAAGCTAAGACCTAACTATGACTAATCATTTTGTACTTCAAAATGAAGAAATCAACATGGATGATCATGCGGCTACTGGGACTGATGATATACTTGTGGAGAATAAAGAAGATACATACCAACAAAGTAGCAAAATGCTACGCCAACAGTTAAAGAGTTTCTCGAACTATGTAGGAGTGAGTGTGACCGAATCACCCCGACGTCATTTTGAAACTGAAGGTGTGGATACATCCTTATTTGCGCTATTTGCTGGTGACCTAACCTCTGTTAATAAGGCACTAGCATGTCAAACTTGGGAAGTTGCTAATCTTCCAGGAGGTAAAAATATCATTGGGTTAAAATGAATATTCAAGAAAAAATATCTAGCTAATGGAAGTATTAAAAAACACAAAGTAAGGTTAGTAGCGAAGGGCTTTGCACAACAAAAAGGACTTGACTACAAAGAAACTTTTTCTCCGGTTGCATGATTTGAAACTGTACGGGTAGTCTTCGCATTGGCAACCCAAGAGGAATAGAAGCTTTTTTAGTTTGATGTAAAATTTTCTTTCTTAAACGGTGATTCAACTGAAGAAGTATATGTGTCTATGCCTCCAGGTTTTGAGGATCTACGCAATCCGAATAAAGTTCTTCGATTTTGAAAAGCGCATTGCAGATTGAAACAAGCTCCTCGAGCTTGGTATAGTAAGATTGATAGTTTTGTCCTTCTCCAAAGATTTGAAAGAAGCATGCATGAGCCAACATTGTATATAAAAACCCAAAGTACTAATGATTTTATCATAGTGAGGTTATATGTTGACGATATGATTTACACAGCTTCATCTATTAAGCTTCTCTCTGAATTTGAGAAATCTATGATGAGCATGTTTGATATAATGGATTTAAGAGAGCTCACCTATTTTTTGGGACTTTAGGTTGTGAAAACAAGTGCTGAAATACTTTTGTGTCAAAAGAAATATCTTGTAGACACATTAGAGAAATTTAACATGGTGAGCTGCAAGCCAGTGGGTACTCCAATGAAGCTCAATGAAAAACTTGTATTAAGTGATGGTACATGCCTGCAGAGGGCACACTGTTTAGAAGCCTAATTGGACAGTTAATTTATCTAACTTATTCTCGTCCCGACATTAGTTATGTAGTTGAAGTTTTATCCTGGTTCATGCACAGTCCCACCGAGCATCACCTTGGGGCAACAAAGCGAGTTCTTCACTATCTAGCAGGAACAAAGGATTTTGGTATCTGGTATCGCAAGTCAGGAGAGTTCAAACTAAAGAGATTTACCGATAGCAATTGGGTCGGTTCCATGGAAGATCGAAAGAGCACATCAGGGCATTGGTTTATCTTTGGAACAACAACAGTCTCATGGAACTCAAATAAACAATTTACTGTGGCATTATCCTTAACTGCGGCGGAATATATTCTTGCAACGGCATGTGCCTATCAAGTTGTATGGCTAAGAAAAATCTTGAGAGACTTGAAGGAAAAATAGATTGAAGCTACTAAAATTTATTGTGACAACTAGTCTGGGGTGATGCTTGCTAAAAATCCGGTGTTTCAAAGTCGAACTAAGCACATCGAAATCAAACATCACTTTATTTGTGAGTGTTGGTTAATGAAGATGTGAAACTGGACATATGTAGAACTGAAGAGCAAATAGCAAATGTGATGACAAAGAGTCTACCAGAGAAGAAACATAAAGCTTTGTACCAAAAGCTAGATATCTACAAGTTCGAATGAACGGGGCGTGTTGGAAGTGCAGACTCATTAAAACTTTCTAGTTACTAGATCAATAATATATCTAATTTTATTGGTGATTATGTTAGGTCGTGGAGTATACTAGTTAGTATTGGTGATTATGTTAGGTCGTGGAGTATACTAGTTAGTATTTATTTTTCCTCATTCTAGCCCTATGCAGTGCGAGTGTTTATTGCTCTTGCAATTTCATTTGAAGTAATAAACAATTAAATTTTCTCTAATTTAGTTTTCCTATATCTTCTAACACAATATACTGTAATTGTTGTTTTACTATGTTATTTTATAATATTTAAAAAATATGACAACTTCAATAATAGAACTATCCAATAAAAAAATAAATTGTATAAAAAAATATGACAACTTCAATAATAGAACTATCCAATAAAAAAATAAATTGTAAGCCTCTTTCATTGAGCTCTGGCTTTGCCAATGTATTGTTTTGGTACCACGACAAATACCTACATCATCTAAAGCTTGAGTTATGGAGTAATATATAACCATCACATCTCATCTCATCTCATCTCATCTCATCTCATCCATCCATAAATAAAAAAAAATAAAAAAATAAAAAAAGAAGTAGGCATTCTAGCTAACATATGATATGATATGTGCATTCCAAAAAAAAAAAATAATGAATTTGGCAACATAAACTTAGTCAAACATAAAATTATATGTTGGGTAACATCATACAATGTGTAGAAACATATATATATATAAATGTATATAGATATATATAATATCCTTTCACATCACAATGAACACTAGACATGCTATACGACACCAAACCACGCCACACCACACCACACCACACCACACGGAGGTAACTGAATATCCGTAAAAGATCCACAAACAAACAAACATAAAATTTACACTGTAATTCACTCACAACCTTGTGGAGGTGAGCTGAGCTGAGATGAGATTTTAAGCACTGAGGCAGCTGCAGGCACTTGAGGGAGGGGCGTGCCCCGTTGCACGGAACTTCGCAGCTGTTTCTTCCGCTTTCAGGAGTTCTTCGCCACGTCGAGCTTCAACCATGGCTCGCTTCTCCTCTGCCTGCTTGTGAAGTGCTGCAACCTTGTTTCGTATTTTCTCAGCATACGTTGCTTTCTTCTGCTCCAGTTGTTCCTGAATCATTTTATCTCTGTTTATTCACAAACTTCTGACATAATAACCAAATGTGGCGTAATCAAGACAAGACACCCTTTACCTCTATTTTCTTTAGTTGGCTTTCAATTGCTGCCTTTTTGGTGTTTTCCCATGAACATACATCAGCAAGCTTCTTTTGAGCTCTACAAATATCGTAATTTAGGAATATAATACCTTTGCGATTATGCAATACCATGAATATGATGTTGTTCAGACAAGAGCCTTACTTGTTCTCGACTTTGGATTTCTCGCTATCCTCCCAAGCTTTGATGAAGGACACTCTCTTTTCGTCTTCAAGCTTTGCCAGAGCAATATCTGCAGCAATATTCAGACTGCAGTTTTTATTGTATTTACACTATTTTGTTGGTAGATTAGATTGTTGTTCTTGAGGAACAAATTCATCGAATTTCCCACAAATTCAACTCAAATGAATATCATCAGCTTAGAATTCCTCAACTACTTTTTTTCTCATGCCAAAACCATCCAAATCCTGAAACTTTTGGAAACTGGAATTTGTAAGAATCATTTGCTTAAAATACGTACCTCTATCAAGGGATCCTTTGGAGGCTTTCTTCTCCTCGGGCTCTTGCACCTCTGTGAATGGAAACAAACATATTCGAGACAACTTGGATCATCAAAACAAACCATTTAATTTCTGTATGCTATCACTCAAACCAAGTCTTTATAAAAAAAGAGAAACCAATACAAGAACATCTCCTCTTTCAGAATTTCAGAATCTTTAGCATAGAAAACCATCAGAAATTAGCTCTTTTTTCGATAGGCAGATGAATCATACAAACTAAGTCTGATGTCTTTTAGTTCTCGATTTCAATCCTTTTATGATAAATGATCAATGAATTGAATCCTCTTGAACTGAGACAGAACATGAAGAAATCACCACAACTAACCAGAAAATCCATTTGAAGAATATATTTAGCCGTACTGATACAGAAAGAATGACTGGATCCTCAATTTTCTGGCCAATCCAAACTCAACAAAATCAAATAGCACTTCCTTTTCAAAAATCTCAATTTTCCGGATCTAATCCATCAAATCAAAGCTTTTCACCGCAAAAGCAAGTTCATCCGCACCTTAAAATCCATATAATCCATCAATATCACCAATCATGTAAACAAATTATCTCGTGGATGCACACAAACACAACAACTGCCAAATCAACCAATTAAAACTTACTTTCAACAGCCTTGGATTCGTCGTGCGGTGGCGCTGCTACAACCGCCTTCTCAGGAACGGCTTCGTGCGGCTTCTCCTCCACCGCCGCGAGTGGCGGCTCCTCCGCTTGCGGAGCCTTTGGAACAACTTCCTCCACCACTGCTGCCGCCATTTTCCACACAATTATGTAGTCGCACCTTTCTCTCCGCGGCCGCGCTCTCTACGATAAATAAAGCAAAATTCAAAAAAGCTGGTTACGTGTAAGAGCAAAACAAAATTTTCCTCTTACAGGATACAGATAGATAAGGAAAACCAGCTCAGTTCATCAATGGCGACAGGTAACAGGTTACTATACTATATATGCTGTGGCCCTCAGTGCAACAAAACAAGAAAGCGATTAAACGACACCGTATTGTCCAGCTTGTGTGCACGTTGCCACGACGTTATTTTCTCAGGCGGCAGCTGCGATCTCCTGCTCCCGGTGCATGGGTGTTCCGACCATCTTATCCAATCAAATTCAAAATAATTATTCCCACCGTCCCAATTAAAATTAAACTGTCCTTATATCTTTTTTTTTTTTAATATAATGGTATATTTTAACTCTATTTCAAATTTTATAATTTATTTTATAATTTAGATTATTTTAATTTTAATTTTAATATATATTTTAATTCTTTTAATTTTAGTTAAACTATCTAATAATTATATTTTATCTAAAATTTTTTATTTATACACAGAAAGTATTTATTTTTATTATCTAATAATATATAACTAATAATTATTACTTTCTCTGTCTCGAAACTAAATATTCATTTGTTTTTTGTACGTAATTTTAGAAATATTAGTATTATATTGGGATATAGTAGAAATGACTAAAATAATCTTATTAGTACGTGTGACATAAAGGTAATGGCATTTGTATAATATATTATAAGTTGTAAGGATATTTGTAATGTTAGGTAGATAGTACAGTTACTAAAAAAAAAAAGGAAATGGATACTTTATTATGGGACAGACTAAAATGAATGGAAATATAGATACTTTGTTATGGGACGGAGGAAGTATATAATATTATACCCCCTCCGATAGATGATCTTTTTTTTTCTTTTTTGTCCGTCTCATTAAAGATGATCTATTTCTATTTTTAGTAAATTTATTCATCTTAAATATATTTAACAAATATAAATCAATTTAATTAAATTTCTAACCTCTTACACGTGGACCTACTCAAAACCCCTTTATTTCTATCTCTCATCAATAAATAAATATTTTTATCTATATTTATAACTTCTTATTTTTAATAAAATTAGTTTTAAGTTAATTATAAATAAATAAATTATTTTTTTTAATCATTTATATTACATAAAATTTATTATTTACAAAATGATATTCATATTGTATATATTTTTATTGATATATAATGCTAAAAATATTTAAAATGCCAACAACACTACTCATATAAAAATAATAAAATAATATCATAATTTATTATTAACTTACTAATCTACACTACCTAAAATACTGTGTCCTTAAGCAAAAAGGTCATCTTGACCAGGACGGAGGGAGTATTATACTTTTAAATTATTAATTTATAAATATAAACTGTAAAATATTATATACTTTTTTATATTAAAAATAAAAATTTGTGGAATTAGTAGTATTTAAAAATTTAAATAATTGAACTAAATTCTTTTTAATATATTTTCAGAATAATTTTCTTTTTTTTTTCATATAATGTTGTTCAAAAGATATTGAATATGAAAATTTAAAAAATTTTAAATATTGAAATTTGATATATACATATATTGAAATATATATAGATCAGTCCTGATTTTTTGAAATAAATTTGTATTTGTATTGTAGAGATGAATTGTTGATAAATTTAATTTGTTTTAATTTTAAATTTTAGGTTATAATTAATTAACTAATTAATTAATGATTTATTATTTTGTAGAGATAATAAGTTTTTTATAATGTAATATATGTGTTAATTATAATAAAAATAAGAATGCACAAAACATAATACTGCATTCGTCCAGTTACAAAGTATATATATTTCTATTTTGGGATGTCTAATTACAAAGTAACCATTTCATTAAATACCCCACTTTTTTCCACAAATACTCTTACTTTACATCACATCATTACTTTTATACCAAAAAGCAAGGGCAAAAATATCATTAAACTATTTTTACTTACCCGCGATAATTAAAATACTATTATTTCTTAAACTCCGCGCCAAAAATAACTGTATACTTTATCCGTGAACGGAGGGAGTATATTTTATTTATGGTGTGAAACTCTTTGTATTTTGTACGAAAGAATTTCTTTGTCAAAAATTGATATTTTGTTCTAAATAAATTATCTTAAATAACTTTTTTAAATAAAATAAATAAATAATTGATTAATTATTTGTTTTTATAGTTTTTGGAGATAAATTGTTACCTAATTTTTATAAAAACTATAAAAATAAATGATTGATCAATTATTTATTTATTTATTTTTATTCAAAAAAATTATTTAAGATATTTTTTATTTTTGATTTGTATAAAACTGTATAATTTAAATCTTTATTTAGAACTAAATATCAATTTTGAACAATAATAATGTTTCATGCAAACTTTAAGCAATAAATAAAATACAAAATATTTTATGTATTTTTACTTAAAAAAAAAAAAGTAAGAAATTGTTATACTCCCTCCGTCCAACTAGAAAGTATACATATTTCTATTTTGGGATGTCCAATTACAAAGTAACTATTTCATTAAATACCCAATTTTTTCTACAAATACCCCTACTTTATATCACATCATTACTTTTATACCAAAAAAGTAAGGACAAAAATATTATTTCACTACTTTTATCTACCCTTAATCTCTGCACCAAAAATAAATATATACTTTTAGCTTGGACGGAGAGAGTATAATTTAGCCAACAAAAATTGAGAAAGTAACGAAAGAAACGGTGACAAAGATTGTAGCATTTGTCGTTATTGGAAGCCACGGTGACCGTTGGATTGATGGTGTGCAGTGAAAGACGTGTATGGATGAGACGTAGAGGATTATCTTCCCGTGCCGACAGGTTAGCCCTGCCCCTGTGGTAATTAATGCGTCAAAATTTCAACGGTATTGTATGGTTACTTAAATTTTTCCTAGAAATAAACGGAAGTAGAAAATATATTTATAGATATAACTTTAAATAGCATGTGATGTTATTGATGTTTTTTTAGAAATAGACCTTCAAGAATCTTTTCATCATTTAAATTTGTATTTAAATCTTGAACACAAAATTTAATTAAAATCTATCTATATATTTTTTTTTCTTTTGTTATTTATAATAAAAAAAAATACAAAATTACTATTTCGTTTTTATAGAAAAATTATATTCAAATTTTTGGACATTAGTTTTGATTTAGTGTGTATTTTATTTTAACTTTTTTATTAAAAAATATAAAAAGTAATATTCTATTTATCTCATCACTGCATTCTCTTGCTACAAAAATAAGAATTTATGATTGATATAATGAGTAAATAATTAAAAATTTATTTCTGAAAATAATTATCGGATAATAAAAATAATCTTAAATTAAAATTAAGATAACTAATTAATCTAAATAAAATTTAAAAAATTATGAATTAAAAAATTAAAATTAAATTAAAATATATAATTTTTTTAAAAAAACAAAAGTGAATAAGTGGACAGACGAAATGAAAAGGTGAATATGATAAATGAGACGGAAATAATATAATCTTTTACTTAAAAATAATAATTTTAAATGACAGAAAAAAAAAAGGAAAAATGACAACAAATTTAAGTAACTGAAGGAGCTTTAATTTTTATTATAATAATATTTTATTAGTCTATGAAAGTGTGTGACAAATTTTGATATTTATGTTATTTAACTTTATATATAAATTAATTGTATATGTGATGATAGGTTTGTAAATTAGGTAAAAGTAAAGAATATTTTTGTTAGTGAAAATTATTTTTAGTAAAATAAAAAATTTATACTTTTGACTGAAATATACAAAAACAATAAAAAGATACTTTAAGTTACGTCGGAAAAAATATTTTTTAAAATATAAATTTTGTCCAATTTAAATATTTCCACTAACCTAATAGCCCGCACCACCGCAGTAGAATATTTCGTTACATGATCCTACATAATTCCTAATTTATCATTACTCTTCTTTCTATCTATCAACATACTAATGGAATATGATAAGTGAGATTTCGAGTAAGTGTTCACATAATCTTATCATATTATATTTAAATTCATGATATAATTAAAATATATGTTGTTGCAATATATATATATATATATTATATTTTGTAGAATTTAAAAAATTGTGAAAGAAGAATTTGTAAATAAGCACATGCAGAATCAATAAACTCAAATAATAACAATATAATCTAATAGATATAAGCTAATAATAAAGAATTAAGTTAAATAATAAAAATCTAATTCAAATCATAAATTACATGTCTAAAATAACTCTGTCTTTCAAATAAAATACACTATGTAAATTCAACTCACTTTAACTTGGAGTTTCTCCAACCGCCAAAGGTTTTTCAGTATTTCTCAATCGTCTCATTCCTGCCAGATGCCCCGAAGGGACTTTAACTCCTGCGAATATTCACTAAGTTCAAGCAGTGCTCGAACTTCTCCGTTGGTAGTGCCTTTGTCAGCATATCAGTTGGATTGTGTTTTGTAGCTATTTTCTGAATAGAAAAACTATAGCTATTTTCTGAATAGAATAACTATCTTCCTCCAGAGCATCACAGATAAAACTCAACCTTACATCAACATGTTTGGTTCTCTCGTGATACACAGGATTTTTACCCAAACTCAAATCATTCTAACTATCACAGAATAACACCGGTTTCTCCACCTTCAGACCCAAACTCTGCACCAGACCACGTAACCAGATACCTTCCTTAATACCTTCAGTCATTGATATGTATTTCGCCTCAGTTGTCGACAGTGCAACCGTAGGTTGTAGAGTAAACTCTCAACTGACTGCACATCCAAACAGAATGAAGATAAAACAAGTCAGTGATCTTCGTTTCACCAAATCACCCTCGTAAGCAGAGTCTACATAGCCAACCAGACCATCACCATAGCCTTTACCATCATATACCAAACAAATATCATATGCTCATTTCAAATATCGTAAGATCCACTTTACAGCTTCCTAATGAGCTTTATCCGGATTAGCCATAAACTTGCTCACTACACTAACCGCATAAGCGAGATCCGGTCTCGTACATACCATCAGATACATAAGACTTCCAACTGCACTTGAATATTGAACTATCTTCATGTAGCTAACCTCTTCA